TTAACTGGTAAAATTTAAGTCTTGGTGATATAAATACTAACAAAAAACTAATATTAATTAGTCTGAAGATTATTTTAAAACATATGCAGTTTGCTCAAGAACCCTCTTTGTTGGACATAAGAAAATTCATACTTAATTTTCAGCCTATGTAGATGCGACCAGACATCCGCTCCAAATTGAACCCACAATGTGACGACTGCAACAATCACGAAATATTTCAAAAATCGACACGAAGGCGTTACACAATTTTTGCAATTTTTCTATGCAAACTCGCGCAAAAGTATTTCGCAGGAGGCTGACTTTCGCTTCGTATAACATGTTTACACGTTTAAAAAGTGTAAAGTGTTCTGAAATTAAAAGCACATTTGTCACCGACTTCGCGACGCGGAAACATTTGTCATTTGCTTCCGTTAGCACCACCGATCGCAGGCCCCGGTAGCGGTCGATGTAGCGATAAGTCTCTGCCTTCTGCAAGGTCGCGATAACTACGCCCGGATTGGAGCGACTGACCTTTATAACAAATGCTCAGTAACTTGCGGCGGCCGACTATTAGCATGAACCACACCACTAAATACTTTTAGAATAATTTCTAGTCGTGCCCGGGCACGGTAGTACTGAGTAAAGCATGTTTTCACTATTTCTTGGACGAAGATGTTTTCTGCCTTATGATTAGGCTTTTGCATAAGCCCATGGTATTGTCTTCTGGCAAGTCTCGATAGATTTGAGAGAGGAAACCTTATCAGAACAATATGATTATTTTGGCGCCTGTTACTCGATAATTTATTCAACGAGTGTGCATAGCCCGCTAAAAAAAACGGGTGATCGGACTGAAGAATGGCGGGTTCGAGTCCCGCCTCGGACGTGATTGTATTTGAGTTAGTCCTTTCTCCCCCATCATCACCATTTCGGGTCGTCTACATAGTTACCATAACGTTAAATTCAATAGTGGTCGCTAACGACCTAGATGTTGATGCGACCTTAAATAACAAAGGCAGGTGAAGCTCTGAGGGAGATGGTGAGGTTGGCGAACCAGAACAGCATCTCAATAAGATACCTGGGGAGGAAGAGGCTTTACGGGTCGGCGGAGCAGCGGTTTCGGGAGCTGGTCCTACACTGACAACATAGGAAACGCGCCCTTATGGTACAGAGACAGATTTGACCCGAATGAGGCGACCACATCGTTGTTTCGCCTCTTCTGCTGTATTATCTTATCGTAGACCTATAAATACAATACCGCAAGCAGTTTTTTTGTTGCTCAGTGTGACAACACCGTCGATAGTTTTCATAGTTACCAACTTAAATGTGTGAATGGGAGGGGGGTGGGTCGCATCTAAATATCGTAGTGTCCCCCAAATGTTGAATTTATCGGGTACTGCAATGACACTGGTGTTGTACGCGAGTTATAAAAACAAAGAAGAAATAGTTTGAAACATTCTGGAAGTGCGGATAAGATATTTAAAAGTAATATGGTGTCTTACGTCAGTTACACGATGTTAATAATGTAAATGTAAATTTATCATCTGAGTTTGTTGAGAACAATGCTTTACCCGATTACAAAAATCACTAGATCTCCCGAGAATTTCCTAGTATTTTGTGATATTGACTAACATACTCGTCATATATAGGGTTTGTGTCTCTGGTATTTGAGAAAGTGAAAACAAAGGGTCAGTGATATTCATTACAATACTTCTAAAACTTAAAACAAACGAGTTCTCAACATCAGTACATCAAAAGATAACCTACGTGCAGAAAAAATGAAAGGTTTTAAAGAAGAATGTCAGCTCAAGGACGGAATAAAGAGTAGAGAACTACAGAATTTTAAATGATTATCACTTTGTACCGAAGTGGCAAAATAATCACCTGTCTTACCTTGCTAGTAATATTAGTGAATTACTCTGAGTTCATAAAAGTGTAAAAATCTTTGAAATTTTCTTGCATCTCTCAATCATTTATTAGTGTTTTTTTTCTATTTGAAGGAGGTACTGATTAAACCCCTTTAAGTGCGTATGTTACCGTAGAACAGCGGGCAGAACAGCTCCCGTAAGTTACGGTGGTTGCTGCTTCAAAGCATTTTCTGTAGCTTCCACGCGTTTACAGACCTAAGTAGTTTACATAATTCACATCAGATGGCATGGCACATCATTTGTTGGGTACTGGAAACCTGAGCGTCGTGCCAGGGCGCTATCAGCAAAGTCCCAGACAATTGGCTTGCAGGTCAAAAGTGAACGTATGCAATCAAAAGTTTGCGATAGCGACTCAATAAAATATTATCTCGCCATCCTAAGTAGAGAGACCATAATTGACGTAAGCAGGTTATTTTTGTTCATTTCACATCTCATGTCCTACGCACTTTCCATTCTGTTCGTACGATCTTTCTTGTGAAGAAATTGTCCTGCAAGCCATGGAATTCCAATATAACATTTCCTGATTGAAGTGAACGAATGAGAGTTTACAACACCAAAAAAACAGGGAACAGTATCTTGAAGAGCTGGAACCCACTTTTCAACAAATTGAAATACACTTCCTTGTCTTATCCTTCTTATCCTTCTCTCGGGTCTTCGAGCGTGCCCCGACTAGAGAGTGGCTTTGAGAGTACCCCGCTAGTGGTAGATACTTGGAGGAGGAAACCCCGCGAAACGACGTGTAGGTCGACGTTGTGTATCACTATAGCAGGAGAGGATCACTGCCACCTCCCGACATAACGACATTCGGTACACTCACGCGACTAATGACCATTGCAATTGACGCGCCCGGTGACAAAAAATAAACCAAATCAAAAACAGGTTTCAAAAATTGATTGTACTATATTCATCTGGCCGTATTCAAGTTTCTGCGTCTTCGAACCGGATATTTTTTATTTTGGGGGGAGGGTACATGAAGCCTTAACACCGCTTTAAACTATTTCTCTGAGATTGCTCTAAATTTTTGTAGCTCAATTAGAGCAAAACACCCTTAAAATAGTACAGGTTTTCTTTTCGTTTAACTCTGAATTTTCGAAAATTGTAATGTTCGAATTATTTTCGGAGTCTTCCTACAATAGAAAATTTATTTTTCTTCCGTATTCGTATTAGAGGCGCGAACCGATATTGAATTAAGAATATGTACAAGATGTAACATTTTTCGAGAGAATGATTAGTTTTCGTCTAATTTTGCGATAATATAGGCAATAAAAAAGTTACTCGAAAACGTTACAACATTTTTTCTTAATCTTTAAAATAAAGTGGAGAACGGTTATAAAAATGCCGCAAATCTAATTTTGGGTTAAGAATTTTCAAAATTTGCACAAAAATCAGTGAAAACCTTGATAATAGTGATATTTGTGCTTCATGAAACCTATTCTTTAATGTATGTCTTCATATTCGGTTATATACACTTTTTTGAAAAAAATCGAGATTTTGCTTCATTGTTGCTTGAAGTAATGACTATGTATAAAATCCGCTTTCTCGATTCCGATTTGTTTCTTAAGTTTTATTTTTAAGAAGAGCAAAGCAAGCTTAAAAAAGGTGTAGGTATACATTTCGTTGAACTATGAATTTTTGAAAATTGCGCGTCTAGTAATGCGAGAAAATACGTGCTGTTTTAGCACTCCTAGTTGCAGTCACAGCTCTTTGCCACCCCTTCCAGCAATCTGTCTCGGCTGCCAACTCCAAGACAAGGCCACCTATCGCTAATTCGGCGGTCATTGCAAGCTATTGGAATATTGACAGGAAATGTTCAGTATAGCGCATCGTGTGCGGCAGTTTTGGGCAATATGAAATAACGTGTCAATGATACTTTTAACACTATAATTTTTAAAACATTAACAAATGATATGGGAATATGCTCGCCTTTCTGATAGGTACTTCAGAGTAAAATTTTAATGATTAAAGATTACGTGGTTCCAAAACTAAAAATATTACGTAAACCACTCTACAATAAATTCCTTTCTTTATTAATCTTCGGCGAAGAACCATTTTGTTATCTAAACCATTTACTAGTTATGAGGGTGGTCCAATTTTTCCCGGACATGGGGAATAATGCTATTCTTCGTATACGTCTACATGCATAAAAACACCCAATAAAAACGTTTATGGTCTTGAATCCACACATTACGTTGCATTGCACACTCGCTGTCAAAAATGAGCTCACCGTCTCGATGGATCGTGATAAATGTTCATTTCACTTTCAACTGTAACTGAATTGATATATAATTCGGTATTTGTTTCAGAATGTAAAACAGTATCGTGTACTAAGAAAACAGCACAGAAAACAACTGTATTTGTACGCCTGAAGAGAATGGCCACTCATATGACAAGTTTCTTGATTTTTTGTTTCTTTCATTTACTCCTAAAATTAAAATTAAATGATTCTGTTGCTTGGATGTTTTAATATTCTGTAAATTATACGGCAGATGTATTATTAGTACTGTGTCCGTTGGACGTTATTCTGAATTTAGTATAAAATTCCTGTCTTAAAACGTTATGAAATGCAAATGTATGGTCTTATCGAGTACAGAAACATTACTAGAAAAAGGTTCAGAATCAAGTGGATGAACAGAAATTTGTTGTATTGTGCATTACTAAATTCAACTAGTCTGAAATTGTATTACATTGAAAGAAATCAAATTAACGTTTACTACAAAAACGTGCCTAAAACTGAACTGATTCCGGTTCAGCCAGGATGGTGTAGTAGTTCTTTACAGACTCAAGTTCATTATTCAATTTTGGCACAAAATGCAATACTCAATAGCATTTCATAGAATCAGGTTTTCGCCAATGAAGTATAATAGACCGTATGAATTACGAGAAATAATACGAAAGAATTAACACAAAATTGGTTGAATTAGTACTTCATCGAACTACCACTAACAGAGTCCTTAGTAAAAAAATGTCTGCAACAAAGTCAAAGCTGAGTATTTGCGCTGAGTAATTACAAATTATTTCATTACAGAATTTAGTTGCGTATGTTCAATAATGGTTTTAGTACACGCATTTTCAAAACTAATAATTATTTATAAATACTTTTTGTCCAAGTCAATCCCGCTCTCCAACGTTGCTCACGCTGCTCCAGTGTAGAAGATTTTGTAAGAGATTTTGAAGATTTTGTAGAAGATTTGTTGAAGAATCCAGTGTAGAGAATTTGGTTTTCAGATATTTCTGAACCACGAGTTGCAAATTCTATCTGCTGGGCTGAACACTAGCAACTTTTAGAATGAACAGCTTTGCATCCAATTGAAAAAAAATTGTAGAGCAGATTTTAAAATCCAAAACTACAAATTTCAAAACAATTCATCGAAATTAATAATCGAAAAAACCATGCTGGAAAGAAGAATACTTAAAATTACTGTCTTTGTATACATGCACTCCAGTTCATAATATAAATCATCTCGAGATCTTACATTATCTTTGTTGCATATAACTATTTCCTTAAATATTTGTTATATGTAAATTATATAATATTTACCTCTGAGTAGAGAATCTAATGGTTACACTCGTTCTGATCCAACAAATGGCAGCGTTGAACGGCCTTCTCCTCTTTAACCTTTACCGATCTGCACTCTCCGGTGGCCTCCGAAAATCTGCTTGCCCGACGTCCGCGGAACCACACGGAACACTTGCCTAGATTTTCCTTTCGCCCGGATGTGCTGGGAAAGTAAAACGACGTCACTTCGCTTTACTTGCCTTCTCTTTCCCTTTCTGCTGTAGAAGCTCCTTGGCACTTCACGAGCGGGAGATTTGACTTTGGTTGTAAGCGATGTATTTTCTACCCGCGGAAAATAGGTTGGTTACAATAAAAACTACGGTTGATTTTGAGAAAATATTCAATGCGCACTGTTCTTCATTTATTAATAATACCACCTCTGAACAGTCGTAAGAGAATTGGAAAAATAATTTTTCCTCGTCAACAATTAACTCCAACAATTACTGTCGAACTTTTGTTCAGGCAAAAATAGATTCACGAGTTGAAGTCAGTTTATGTGGATTAAAAACACCAGCAAACAGCACGATAAATTATCAATACCAAATATCGAAGCTTGATTCCATTGCGTATGTACTTATTATCACGCACAGTTCCATATGAATGATATTTAGCTGCGGAAATATTGTGTTCAAATTTCGTTAAAACAGAATCACCAGTTTCATGCGACGGTTCCTCGAGGCTGTTCATGATACGGGGATGCAGCATTGGATATACCGCTCCAGTTGATTTGGGAGTCCATCTTCAGCGTCAAACATGACAATCGATGTAGGCTTATTTGTTCTTTCAGAAAATGATGCTTCTGCAAATATTAATTCTTAAATGAAATAAATTGAAAACGCAAACCCAAATGTAGGAGAATGTAGATATGGACGCTTAGAAAGTTCGTTCGCAGACTAAACTGGTTGCATTAAGTGCCGTAAATGCGTACTAACTAAAAGCTACGATCAATTAGTGACGTTACAAAAACGCAATTTTGTTCTCAAAAATCGGGATGGATAGGTTGATTGATAGATGGGTGAGTGGAAGTATGTATCACGCATACCTTCTTCAGATTAGAAGCTTTTGAGCTAAAACTTGATAAATACGAAAGAAAGAAGTAAGATCTAGCTGTGACGCTTCGGGAACATTTAAGATTCATGTTAAGATGTTATAATTGGTGCACGGGGCCCTTTTCAAAACGTCCCTGAGACGTTTTCAAAATTTTTTGAAAACGGATTGAAAATATTTTGCTTTAAATGTTTTGTTCGAATGGAGTAAGATGATGGTGTATTTACAAATACAATATAGTTTTGATTCGTATTTAAGACTGAACTGTTGACAAATGCTCAAGCTTAAATAGTTTTCGAACGACAGGGCTCGAACCAAGGACCTCTCCGTCAGAGACACTGCAGCGACATCAGATACAGCGTTGAGCCACCTCCCACTGGAGTACGTTTAGTATTGATTATAATATCCAAATTATGCATTTCATTTCATTAAGAACAAGAAAAATTTCCAATTTTCTCGCGTTTCCACTCGTCTTTATCTCACTCAAAATTACTTCATTTTTTATTTTCCAAACATCGCACATGGCATTATTTGAAGATCTAATTTTGATGAATAGATTTATTGAAACAAAAATCTCTATTTTCAATATTGTAGTAGTAGGTACTCGACGTCATTTTGACGCAAATTTTGAAAGCTTTAATGACATTTTTTAATAAAATTCAGACTTGCGCGACTTTTTAAACGTTCTATTCTCGATTTGAACAAAATATTTTTGTTTTCTCAATCGGCGATGATTCGACATAACTCATATTGCCAGTCCTTGGAAACCAAACAATGCAAACAACTTATGTTCTTGATACCGAAAAACTGATTGACAGTCGTCTGTCTGCATGTCCGTCCATCTGCGGTCATTGCAAAAGTTCACATTATTTTCGGCGCCTTCTTACAGCTACAATACTAAAGATATATTTTTTCTTAATGGAATCTGTTCATTGCAAGAGGCTAAAAATGGGTCGTGTTTTTATGTAGACGTTTTCGAAAATAAAAGTATTTTTATGTAATTTAGTTTGAAACAGGCAATTTTTAAACAATTATTTTCTTAAAGATCCAAAGTTTTTCTTTAATATTTTTCCTCGTATGTAGAAAAGAAGTAGAGCTAGTCTCATTTCCGGCAAACGTGCTGTATTTTCGAAATGTGCAAACAAAAAAATATTAACATTGAAAGAGAAAAATATTATTGATAAAGAGTTTCTTATTCAAAATCTGCTAAAAACAGGTCAACTACAATTTTTTTAAAAATATTAGAGTTCAACAAAAATTTCCGACCAGTCACATTTATTTAATGAATTCAGTCTAGAACATTAAGTATTAGTAAAGTTAAGTACCTTTTCAAACTGGACGTCCTCTTCGTCTTCGATGCACTTTTACTGCAAATGTTGCAATTGAGTAATGTTTTATTTGCACTTAATAAAAATGTTGGTCTTCAGTTTTGTATTTGATTCTTCTCGCGATGTAATATTTACTTTGAATCTCCGTTTAAACTTTCGGGCTCTTTACACCGAGGGTTCGGTTGAAGTGGTTCTGGTAGTGTCAGATCGTCTCTGATTAACAGCAATTCAATTAAATAGGCCGAAATCTTTCAAAGGATTAGCTGGAAATGATGACCAAAGACAAAGGGACTTAACGAGTTCTATGAGAGTGAAATGGCGTTTCGTGAAGGCAGCTACAACACAAAACGATTTGTATCGTGTCTCCGCTTGGCAATTAGCATGTGGCACGAAAAGGACGAAATGGCGATTCGTGACGAGACCAACAACTCGAAACGTTTTGTAGCGTGACTCCGCTTGGCAATCAGCATTCAATGAAAGAGGCGTAAAAAATGAAGTGAATGTTCTGTGTTGATACCCAAATATGTGGGCGAGAGATAGAGAGTGTGAGAGGGCTTGAGAGAGATGTACGAGACTTTATTTTCTGATTGATGATTACGGGCGCCAAGGTAATTAGTCCCGTAAGTGTAGTGTATGTTTTCAGTCGGGAGGGGGTCGTTTTACGGCGGGGTGATCTTCCCGCGTTGGATAATGAGATCCGGCACCGACTTATCCGTCATGTGGCGAGGTTTTCCCCAAACAAGTATCTCTCAACAGTGGGGCACCGCTCCAGCACGGACAGGCTATGAGATCCCGACCCGTCTCCCGGCATGTAAAGTAGTGTTCTGCAGGTGTGTGTGTGTGTGTGTGTGTGTGTGTGTGTGTGTGTGTGTGTGTGTAAGGGGTGATTATAGGACAAGGAAAGCAAAGGAAAGATCGCGCGCGGTCCGTGTCCCGTTTGTTAGGGTATTACTTTGGCATTCGCGTGGTGTTGATCGTAGAAAACACGTAAAACTACCGTTTAGAGCAGCCGGTCGCTAGAATTTTCCTCCAGACAGCGACTGAATTCGGCCTAGCTACTGAGCTGTACTCAATTTCATTTTATATTATCGCTGTAACTATGATAAAATATTTTCTCTGCTGAATTTTTAGGTTAACGATTACCTTCTTCGTTTCCACTCTCAAGTGCAAACCCTTTACCTTGGTCGATCTATTTTTTGATTTCCGACAGGAGCATAAGTGAGTATTATTTTACAGCTCTCGTGCAATATATATTATGCGTCGTAACAGCACATTATGACTCCTAAAATTTATCTAGTTATGTCTTGTGATAGTTGAAGACCAATATGTTTCTGATTTCTAACTAAATGTATTTGAAGTTTCAACGAGGAAACTTTGATTTTACGAAAACGATTAAGATATGTGTCATATAAAGGTTTTTGTTTTTCAACAGATATTAAATATTTTTAGCTGTTACGAATGTAAAGGTACGACATCCTGTATATTTGCGATTAATATATAACGAATATTCAAATGAATACCGAAGTAATTGAAAATAGCAAGTGCACACCTACGCTAAAATTGTATTAAACATTCGATGCGCTCACGTAGCCTTTAAGAAAATGAGCTTTGCCGTATCTACATCGCCCAGGCAAGTGCAGGAGCCGAGAGCTCGAGTGTGAGCCTTTGCAGTTGCGATGACATGGAGGAGGTCCCGCGCAGGGTTGAATACAAATGTTCGAGAATGAGATGAGCGGATCATGGAAACCGATAAAGGCGATGGAATCGCAACTGCGTCGATTGTCGTGAATGAGGAAACGTACTTCGCGCAGAACTTTCCATTGATCGGAACAGAAATGGGTTCAAATATTTCGTCTTTTAATACAACTCGCTTACAAACGACCTCATTGGAAACCCAATTTTATTTTAGATTAAATTAAACTTCTACTTTATGAGATAAAAGTATGTAGTTAAACATGAGTTTAAAAATAGAAAAAAATTGTTCGACAAATCAGTACCTGGCAAAAATTTATGGGAAATATATTTTCAGCAGCCCGGCCGAAATTAGCTCAGAGTCAGCATATTCTCTGAAACAATCCTGTTCGAGAGGTCCTAGAGTTCGACTCCCGACAGTGTTCGATTTTCGACCGTAACTTGACAGCTAGGTGCCAATTGAGCCGCTGTTCGGACGATTATTGTTGCGGTCGGCTGCTCTGATCGGTAGTTTTCCGTGGTTTCTCCGATCAATACCAGGCGATTGCCGGAGCACTACCGTACAATCCGGGTCAAGGTCAGCTCGCGATCTTTCTTTCCTCTTCCTCGTACTATTACCTTTCCTTAAATACACACACATA